ATACATTTGTTTTTTCACCTGTTCTATGATCACTTATACTTCTATTAATTATAACCACATGTATCTTCTTCTGTTACTCTTGCAAGTATTATCATCTCTAGATTTTCTGTAGAATTGTAATTTTCCACTGCCCTGATGAAGGGTCCCCTGAAATGTGTTGGCTGTTTATGTGATCTTACTAATAATCAATAAAGTGATTTGGACTCTGATCATTCGGTCTGGTGCTCCTCCTGTTTGTGGATCGCTTTGAGGTTTCTAATCTCCTTCGGTCTTTCCGCTTGAAAAATTCATCCTCTCCACTTTTCCTGGTGTCATTGAGACAGGAAGCTATAGGAAATCCAAAATGGTGGCCGTCTTGGACTGCACGATTAAGTCCCGAAAAGGGAAAAATGCATCTGCTGAGTTCTTTACAAGTGGAGAACCGGAACTGAAACCATCTTGGACCAATCTCATTCATGCAACAGGGAGCCAGTGTCCATGTGCAGATGGCCACCATTTTATTGAAGTCTAGACTGGAGCCTGACAAGCCAATCCTGCCTGTCTTGCACCAGTCTATCCACATTAGATATGTCCAGAATGGAAAAATTTGTTTTGGATGAATTTGTTATGTTACTAATTTTGTTTCATACAGTTGCAAGAAAAAGTATGTGAACCCCTTGGGATTACGTGGAGTTTTGCATGAATTGGGCATAAAATGTGCTCTGAACATCATCTAAGTCACAACAATAGAAGAACACAGTCTGCGGAACATAATTCTACACAAACATTAGATGCTGCCATGGTTTAATTGCACATAACATGTAAACATTCACAGTGCAGGGAGGAAAAAGTATGTGAAGCCCTAGCTTAATGACTTCTCCCAGAGCTAATTGGAGCCAGGAGTGAGCCAAACCTGACTCCAATCAGTGTGATGATATTGGATGTGTTGCTGACAGCTGTCCTGCCCTTAAAAAACACACACCTGTTTTGGGTTTACTGGTTTCAAGAAGCACTGTCTGATGTCAACCATGCCTCACAGAAAAGAGCTCTCAGAAGACCTACGATCAAGAATTGTTGACTTGCATGAAGCTGGAAAGGGTTACAAAAGTATCTCCAAAAGCCTTGAGGTTCATGTGTCCACAGTAAGACAGACTGTCTACAAATGGAGAAAGTTTAGCACTGTTGCTACTCTCCCTAGGCGTGGTCGTCCTGTAAAAATGACTGCAAGAGCACAGCGCAGAATGCTGCATGATGTAAAGAAGAATCCCAGAGTGTCAGCTAAAGACCTACAGAAATCTCTGGCACATGCTAACATTTTTGTTGACACATCTACAATAAGGAAAACATGAAACAAGAATGGAGTACATGGGAGGACACCACGGAGGAAGCCATTGCTGTCCAAAAAGAATATTGCAGCACGTTTGAAATTTGCAAAAGAGCACCTGGATGTTCCACAGCACTACTGGCAAAAATATACTGTGGACAGATGAAACCAAGATTGAGTTGTTTGGGAAGAACACACAGCACTATGTGTGGAGAAAAAAAGGCACAGCACACCAACATCAAAACCTCATCCCCACTGTGAAACATGGCGGAGGGAGCATCATGGTTTGGGGCTGCTTTGCTGCCTCAGGGCCTGGACGGATTGTTGTCATTGATGGAAAAATTAATTACAGAGTTTATAAAGACATTTTGCAGGAAAACGTACGACCATCTGTCCGCCAACTGAAGCTCTGCAGAGGATGGGTGATGCAACAGGACAATGACCCAAAGCATACAAGTAATTCAACAAAACAATGGCTGCAACAGCACAGAATACACCTTCTGGAGTGGCCAAGTCAGAGTCCTGACCTCAACCCGATTGAAATGCTGTGGCATGACCTTAAGAGAGTGATTCACACCAGACATCCCAAGAATATTGCTACACTGAAACAGTTTTGTGAAGAGGAGTGGTCCAAAATTACTCCAGATCATTGTGCAGGTCTGATCTGCAACTACAGGAAACGTTTGGTTGAGGTTATTGCTGCCAAAGGAGGGTCAACCAGTTATTAAGTCCAAAGGTTCACATACTTTTTTTTCCCTGCACTGTGAATTGTTACATGTTATGTGCAATTAAACCATGGCAACATCTAATGTTTGTGTAGTATTATGTTCAGCAGACTGTGTTCTTCTATTGGTGTGACTTTGATGACGGGTTCAGAGCACATTTTTTTGCCCAATTCATGCAAAACTCCACGTAATCCCAAGGGGTTCACATATTTTTCTTGCAACTGTAGATTCATGTAGGAATTTGTTTAGTTTATTCATTTTCTAACGAATTTAAAATTTTTGGAAGGATTCAAATTCAAATTGCGGAAAATATGTTTTGAATCTGAATTCTGTGTGAAGAATAGCTGGTTGCAATAAGGAGAGGTCTGGGAAGTGAAGCCGTGTCCTTAACAACTGATGACTCATCAGCTGTCAGTGGTTTCCCCACTGACAGCCAAATGTAAAAAAAAAAAAAAATGGCAGCAATGAAAAATTAAGAAAATAAACGGCATGGAGAGCCCCCCCCCCACTGTTCATGCCAGGCCCTTCGGGGCACTGGCAATATAACAGTTTTTCACTGTTGAATTTTTTTTTTTTTCTAAATACCTATTCATTTGTGCAAGTGATTATGTGATTACCACGGCTAATCAATGGTACAGATGGTCTGTGGTTGTCCTTGTTTGTACCATGTGAATTGTTCACAGACATCGGGTACACAATGAATAAACACCATCCACGTATCCAATTGTCATGTGAATTGTAGATTGGTCAAAACAATCAATGGTACCAGCAGCGGGCTGGTACACTGATCTGTCATCCTCTGTGTCCGGTGGATGGCGCAGTGTGGCCTTAGGGCCAGTACAAGGTGCATTCTGTGAAGACGTCATGTGACATCTTCCCGGATCTAGAACGGTCCCATCTGGCCATCATTTGACTATAGGCCAGGCAAGAACTGATTGAAGTGAATTGTTAGACGGGGTCAATATATTTTTTTGAAGTGAATTGTTAGACGGGTTCAATATATTTTTTTGAAGTGAATTGTTAGACGGGGTCAATATACGTTTTTGAAGTGAATTGTTAGACGGGGTCAATATTTTTTTGAAGTGAATTGTTAGACGGGGTCAATATACGTTTTTTGAAGTTTGTTAGACGGGGTCAATAACGTTTTTTGAAGTGAATTGTTAGACGGGGTCAATATACGTTTTTGAAGTGAATTGTTAGACGGGTCAATATTTTTTTTGAAGTGAATTGTTAGACGGGGTCAATATATGTTTTTGAAGTGAATTGTTAGACGGGGTCAATATATGTTTTTTGAAGTGAATTGTTAGACGGGGTCAATATATTTTTTTTGAAGTGAATTGTTAGACGGGGTCAATATATGTTTTTGAAGTGAATTGTTAGACGGGGTCAATATATGTTTTTGAAGTGAATTGTTAGACGGGGTCAATATATGTTTTTGAAGTGAATTGTTAGACGGGGTCAATATATGTTTTTGCTTTTTGCAAGCTGGCTGGTACGTGTGCTGGGAATTTTATGTCTGTTTGTGATGTGTGTTGCTCTTCCAAGTGCATTCTACTACAAAGGCTAGTGATAAATGTGGGTGGTTATCATCTTTTTGTAAATTAAGTAGAGCTAACGCACCATCCCCGCTCTCAAAGTTCGCTCTCCCGCCATCTCTTGAATGCCAGGATAAAAATGGATCTGCCCTCCAAACACACTGAGGAAATGAAGGACTGACACACTCTGATCACAACATTTGTAGTTTATTCCAGAGACAACCAGAATGGTAGTCCCCACCCAAAGACCACCCTCTAGGAGTCGCTGTCCTTAGGGCCGGTGCTTTCACTAGGCAAACTAGGGTGCACTGACACCTAGGGGCACCTCGGTGCAGCCAGGCCAGCTCCCTCTCTGTGTGGGACACTGCCATGTCATGAATGATCCTTCAGCTGAGAGGAGGGGTAGAGCAGAGGGGAGGATGAAAGGACAGAGGAAGATGTTGGGTGTCTGGGGCCAGTGTAGCAGCTGAGATGCTGCTCCTTCTAGTGTTCCTCTCAGATTCAGTCCCTTACTGCAAGCCGGCTGAAGGCTGCTGTTCACTGTGGAGCTCCAGCCCTTCTCTTCCCATTCATCAGGGGAGGCGGAAAGGAAAGTAATGTCGGAATCTGACATCTTGTGTCTGTGTGAGTGTGTGACCCGGCCAGCCGGCCATCCATCTCATGTGCAATGTGTCAATGAGTGATGACATCATCACCATCCCCCAGCCTGCTCTTCTAGTGCCTGCTGGGCCTGCTGATCTGTGTCAGTGTTGGTGGTGGTGTGTCGTGTCGGATCTGTCACTGTGTGGGATCGCTCAGTTCTGGTGTTGCTGAAGGTTCTGGTGGCATTTTTTGGCACGTATTTTTGCAAATTAAAAGAAATGTAGCAGTTTCCTGCTTTGATGATTTAATGTTTTCCACTGTTTTTACATTTATTTATTTGGAGGGGAAGGGGGGGAGGGGGGGAAAGTAGCTGGTCTTGACTAGGGTGCAAAATAGTCTAGCACCGGCCCTGGCCGTCCCTCATTTCCTCAAATTCAGGAGAGCGTTAATCTCAGGAGAGCATTTAGAATAGAATGTTCAAGAAATTTCCCTCCATTTATATTTGCTAAGCAGTCTCATCATTCACAAGTAATAAATTCACATTTCCATTGCGGTGAGCCATCCGTTCATCTGCTGGACGCGCTCGGATCTCCATTTCCGTGCAGCTCTGATATCCTCATTTCATTAACAAACCAGGAGCGCCGTATCCAGTGTTCATCCTAATTGCACAATGTTCTCCCCCGCCAATCATTTCACACAGATCTGTAATAGATAGAAAAACAAAATATTCCAACTGCTCCAAGATTAACCCCTTCATGGCGGAGAGTAAAACAAATCCTAACGTCTGAGCACAGTATATATCATGTCATATCATCACAGCCACTCAGTGTATCCCGACAGGGGTCACTGCTGGCAGGGCAGAGGACAGGGGTCACTGATGCGGGGGCGGACAGGGGTCACTGCTGGCAGGGCAGGAGGACAGGGGTCACTGCTGGCAGGGCAGGAGGACAGGGGTCACTGCTGGCGGGGCAGAGGACAGGGGTCACTGCTGAGGGAGAGGACAGGGGTCACTGCTGGAAGGGGAAAGGACAGGGGTCACTGCTGAAGGGCAGAGGACAGGGGTCACTGCTGGAAGGGCAGAGGACAGGGGTCACTGCTGGCAGGGCAGAGGACAGGGGTCACTGCTGGAAGGGCAGAGGACAGGGGTCACTGCTGGAAGGGCAGAGGACAGGGGTCACTGCTGGAAGGGCAGAGGACAGGGGTCACTGATGACGGGGCAGAGGACAGGGGTCACTGCTGGCAGGGCAGAGGACAGGGGTCACTGCTGGCAGGGCAGAGGACAGGGGTCACTGCTGGCAGGGCAGAGGACAGGGGTCACTGATGACAGGGCAGAGGACAGGGGTCACTGATGATGGGCAGAGGACAGGGGTCACTGCTGGAAGGGCAGAGGACAGGGGTCACTGCTGGAAGGGCAGAGGACAGGGGTCACTGCTGAGGGCAGAGGACAGGGGTCACTGCTGGCAGGGCAGAGGACAGGGGTCACAGGCTGCAGGGCAGAGGACAGGGGTCACTGCTTGCAGGGCAGAGGACAGGGGTCACTGCTGAAGGGCAGAGGACAGGGGTCACTGCTGAAGGGCAGAGGACAGGGGTCACTGCTGGAAGGGCAGAGGACAGGGGTCACTGCTGATGGGGCAGAGGACAGGGGTCACTGCTGGCAGGGAGGAGGACAGGGTCACTGATGATGGGCAGAGGACAGGGGTCACTGATGATGGGGCAGAGGACAGGGGTCACTGATGACGGGGCAGAGGACAGGGGTCACTGCCGGAAGGGCAGAGGACAGGGGTCACTGATGACGGGGCAGAGGACAGGGGTCACTGATGACGGGGCAGAGGACAGGGGTCACTGCTGACGGGGCAGAGGGACAGGGGTCACTGATGACGGGGCAGAGGACAGGGGTCACTGATGACGGGGCAGAGGACAGGGGTCACTGCTGATGGGGCAGAGGACAGGGGTCACTGATGACGGGGCAGAGGACAGGGGTCACTGCTGATGGGGCAGAGGACAGGGGTCACTGCTGGAAGGGCAAAGGACAGGGTCACTGCTGCGGGGCAGAGGACAGGGGTCACTGCTGGAAGGGCAGAGGACAGGGGTCACTGCTGGAAGGGCAGAGGACAGGGGTCACTGCTGGAAGGGCAGAGGACAGGGGTCACTGCTGGCTGGGGCAGAGGACAGGGGTCACTGCTGGAAGGGCAAGGACAGGGGTCACTGCTGATGGGGCAGAGGACAGGGGTCACTGATGACGGGCAGAGGACAGGGGTCACTGATGGAAGGGCAGAGGACAGGGGTCACTGCTGATGGGGCAGAGGACAGGGGTCACTGCTGGAAGGGCAGAGGACAGGGGTCACTGATGATGGGGCAGAGGACAGGGGTCACTGCTGGAAGGGCAGAGGGACAGGGGTCACTGCTGGATGGGGCAGAGGGCAGGGGTCACTGCTGGGAATGGGGCAGAGGACAGGGGTCACTGCTGATGGGCAGAGGACAGGGGTCCTGATGACTGGGCAGAGGACAGGGGTCACTGCTGGAAGGGCAGAGGGCAGGGTTCATTGCCGGGGGCAGAGGACAGGGGTCACTGATGATGGGGCAGAGGACAGGGGTTACTGATGATGGGGCAGAGGACAGGGGTCACTGCCGGAAGGGCTGAGGGCAGGGGTCACTGCTGGTGGGGAAGAGGACAGGGGTCACTGCTGGAAGGGCTGAGGACAGGGGTCACTGATGAGGGGGCAGAGGACATGCGCAACTTTTCTGCTTGTTCAAAGTGACAACTCTCTCCCAATTGTGCTCCTGTGTTGTCACCTTTGACACGTGTTACTACACTGCCCCTGGTGGACACTCCATGTTGCTGTTCTGCCACACGTTGCACAGATATGTCCCACCATTGTCACCATCAGGATGGAGGCCTAGAACAATGTTTTTCAACCACCGCTGGAGTGCACACAGACAACAAGAAGAGACTGTAAGAGACTGCAGGAGATTGGCAAAGCTGACATGTAAGGATAATTAAATAAAAGTGAAAACAGAATTGAATGGCAAAAAAAAAACATGGTGGTGGTTTATAGTTCTCAGTGCTTTAGCCAACCAAATGCCATCAAGGTGGAGTTTTGATCTACATTATCTACACCGCCAATTGGGATTTTCTGCTGTTCTCTGGAATTGTCCTTTTCTGTCTACATATCACAGCATAAGCCACAGAGAAAAAACATCGAAAAGTCGGATACTAACAACCTCACTGGAGAAGCATTATGGACTGAGGCAATATGTGTCATCTTCTACCACCAACAATGGATGGTCCAATACGTATGCTGCTATATACACTATATTGCCAAAAGTATTGGGCACATGACCTTTAATGGCCCCCCCTTAGTCCGTAGGGTTCAATTCCTCCTCACCATGGCCCCCCAGTCTTACCTTCAATATTGATAGCTTCCCACCCAGTGACCTTAGCCCGTAGCCCGTAGGGTTCATATTGAGTTGGCCCCGCCCTTTGCAGCTATAACAGCTTCAACTCTTCTGGGAAGGCCGTCCACAAGGTTTAGGAGGGTGTCTATGGGAAGGTTGGACCATTCTTCCAGAAGCACATTTGTCAGGTCAGGCACTGATGTCGGGGCAGGAGGCCTGGCTCTCAGTCTCCACTCTAATTCATCCCAAAGGTGTTCTATGGGGTTGAGGTCAGGACTCTCTGCAGGCCAGTCAAGTTCCTCCACCCCAAACTGGCTCCTCCATGTCTTTGTGGACCTTTCTTTGTGCACTGGTGGGCAGTCATTTTGGAACAGGAAGGGCCATCCCAAACTCCTCCCACAAAGTTGTCCAAAATGTCTTGGTATTCTGACGCCTTAAGAGTTCCCTTCACTGGAACTAGGGGGCCAAGTCCAACCTCTGAAAAACAACCCCCACCATAATCCCCCCTCCACCAAACTTTACACTTGGCACAATGCAGACAGACAAGTACCATTCTATTGGCAACCACCAAACCCAGACACGTTCCATCAGATTGCCAGACAGAGAATAGTGATTGGTCACTCCTGAGAACACATCTCCACTGCTCTAGAGTCCAGTGGCGGCGTGCTTTACACCACAGCATCCAACGCTTTGCATTGCACTTGGTGATGGAAGGCTTGGATGCAGCTGCTCGGCCATGGAAACCCATTCCATGAAGCTCTCTACGCACTGTTGTTGGGCTCATCTGAAGGCCACACCAAGTCTGGAGGTCTTTAGCTATTGACTCTGCAGTCAGTTGGCAACTTCTGCACACTGTGCGCTTCAGCATGCGCTGACCCCGCCCTGTCATGTGACGTGGCCTACCACTTGGTGGCTGTTATTCCCAGTGGCTTCCACTTTGTTATAATCCCACTAACAGTTGAGCGTGGAATATTTATTAGCCAGGAAATGTCACGGATGGACTTATTGCCCAGGTGGCCACCTATCACGGGACCACGCTTGGAGTCACTGAGCTCCTGAGAGCGACCCATTCTTTCACCAATGTTTGTAGAAGCAGTCTGCATGCCTAGGGGCTTGATTGTATACACCTGTGTCCATGGAGGGGATTGGAACACCTGAATCACATGATTGGGAGGGATTTGGACACTTGAATCACATGATATGGAGGGGAGTGGAACACCTGAATCACATGATATGGAGGGGATTGGGACACCTGAATCACATGATATGGAGGGGATTGGAACACCAAAATCACATGATTGGGAGGGGATTGGAACACCTGAATCACATGATATGGAGGGGATTGGAACACCTGAATCACATGATTGGGAGGGGATTGGAACACCTGAATCACATGATATGGAGGGGATGGGAACACCTGAATCACATGATATGGAGGGGATTGGAACACCTGAATCACATAATATGGAGGGGATGGGAACATCTGAATCACATGATATAGAGGGGATGGAACACCTGAATCACATGATATGGAGGGGCTTGGAACACCTGAATCACATGATATGGAGGGGCTTGGAACACCTGAATCACATGATATGGAGGGGCTTGGAACACCTGAATCACATGATATGGAGGGGCTTGGAACACCTGAATCACATGATTTGGAGGGCGGGGACAATACTTTTGGCAATATATATATATCAACTGAATGGATAGCTGAACACAGAAAAGCAGTTCTCAGAATAACAACGCATAGAGTCTTGCGGGGTAAAACAATGATGATGTATGATGAACTCTGGATCTGGCCAGGCATGGTCAATAGGAAAAGTTCTTTAAGCGGAAACCAAAAAATGTGTTAAAGCGGCAGTAAACCACAAGAAAAGAAACAAAAAGAACAATGGGCCCCTGCAGGTTTAGGTCATAATCCACTTGTATGAACTGCATATTAGTATACTATGACAGACCTACCTGTACATGGAGACCTTTGCTGCAAGGCTCTCCAGTGCTGCCATCTTCACCCAGTCTTCCTTCCAGGTTTGCGGGCTCCAGCCATGTGAATGACCAGGGCCGTGATGACGTTACTCTTGCGTATGTGCACAGTAGCTCTCTGTTATGGCACAGAGCTCTGAAGGTCGGACGCGATATGCCGCCCTTCAGAGCGCATGCACCGTGACGTCACACCGGCTGCATGTTATGTGACGAATCTCCTAAACAGCAAGTTTAGATGTTCACTGTACCTACAGGATATTCCTAAGTATAGGCTCACCTGTAGGCACAAGTTCTAAAGTGGACTTTACTTCCGCTGTAATGGTGGTGGCAGTGTGCACTTGAATATTAGAAAAGCAACCACTAAACCAGTGGAATCAAAACCAATCCCAGCCACTGCCTTGGTGGCCCCGTGTTGTCGAGTTGAGCCACAATGCACTGCAATAGCTATCCCTTGGGGGTTGTCCAGACCCACAGGAGACACTCACCGGTGTATTGCATAGCCAGAATAAAGATGAAGCACCATAGGCCATGACCACCAGTTAGACATCTCTTCTGCAAACAAGTCACTGATGAATATGCTGTATATATATATCAGTTGCTTACAATGGGTTACCCCCCTTTCCTCCTCACTTTACTGTATCTCCTAAACCGGGTGTCGGCAACCCGCGGCTCCGGAGCCGCATGCGGCTCTTTTTCACCTTTCCTGCGGCTCCGGAGCACACTGCCCACCAGG